GCAGTCACATCGGTAGGCCTGGGCTGCTGCTGTAACGCATCATGACAGCAGGGATGACCATGAGACAGGAGATGCCAAGGAAACAAAGCAGCAGTCCCGTGCTTGTGACACTGCTGCTCTGTGTTCTGAACAGGGGTGGTGCTTGCTTTGGGGCAGAATACAGGAGAGAAGTGGACCTCCTCCTGAGGTGACTCAGCTCTGATCCCTTCTGATCCCCTCCAAATTAATATCTCAGGGGTTCCACATCCATATGTTCATCCGGTTGCAGGGTTGACATGTCAGATGAGCCCTTCCTTTCAAATCCAGCAGTTGCCCTCTGTGGACAAAGTACACCCCAGTCTCTGTCTCTCACAGTTACTTCCTTAGGTGTCTCTTCTTACTGTTCAGGTCTGGTTCATTGGTGGCAGACAGCACTGCCTGGGTTGGAAAGTGACCAATGCTAGCTCTGTGCTGTCCCTCACATGACTAGCTACAGACCCTGGATTAAGGCATCTTTATTTGGAGAACCATCTATTTCATTTCCCAATGTGCAGCCACCTCTGTTATTAATGTGCGTGACTGTCGCCATTTTGACCTCAGTCCTACAGCTCTTTAATGCACAGAACACCCACCGAAGTCATATCAGAAGAGGATGCTGATTGTTCTCAAGCAGCTGTCTCCCTTCTAACATGGTTTCCTAATAACAAATATGAGAGGCTTGTTAGAATCTCAAGTAATGGAAAACGAAGGCAATTCCGAGGCTATATAAACAAAGGGATTAAGGAAGGCACTACGCAGTTGAAGTGCGACCTCAATAAAGACACACAGGCAGTCGGCCTCTGTCACCACAAAGCAAGAGAGTCATTCTAACGAGGTTGTTTCTCAAGGTGCCCTAGCAATTAGTGTGTGCCGTAGAGCCTTCAATATGAGGAATCAGCAGACAGTGTGTGTTTTGATTGGCTCAGAGGAAGGATATTGCCATTCAGAAAAGTGATTTCCTTATGACCCTCCTGAACCACATGGCTGGTTTGGATACTCAGGGAGCTACTGGGTGACAAATCATGTGATAAAACCAAACCAAGCCTCAAAAATGTGTTACAAGAGCAGTTCTGACATGTTGTCTAAGATTGGATGGTCTAGACGGTGCTTGGTTCTGCCATGCATGCAGGAGACTGGACTTGATGACCTCTTGAAGTTCCTTCTAGTTCTATGATTCTATGACCGTAGCTAGTGAAAAAAGATTTTGGATATATGTTTCAGAAGTAACTAACTGAGGTCTGCATCAGTATAACTGCTTTGCTCAGGGGTATGAAAAATCCTACTCTTGAGTGAAGTAGCTATACCAACAAATGCCCCCGTACATAGCACTATGTCAACGGGAGAGCTTCTCAGAGAAGGGGATTAACTGAGCTGATGGGAGAGCTCTTTCTTGTCAGCTAGAGCATCTTAACGAAAGCGCTACAACGCCACTGCTGAATTGGTGCCGCGTTTTATGTTTAGACCTGCGCTTAGCCTCTTAAGTGCCATTTTCAGAAGAGACATAGGCACTATAAGAACCTTAGTTAAGTGATAGTCAATGGGTACGTCTAGACTACCGCGTTTTGTCGACGGAAGTTTTGTCGACAGACACTGTCGACAAAACTTCCGTCGACAAAGAGCGTCCAGACACATTGAGTTCTGTCGACAAAGCAAGCTGCTTTGTCGACAGAACTCCGTAGTCTGGACGCAACGTTACAGGCAATAACACCTTCTGTCGACAGAGTTCTGTCGACAGAAGGTGTTATGCCTCGTAAAATGAGGTATACCAGCGTCGACAAAACTGCTGAGTTCTGTCGACGTTATGTCGACAGAACTCAGCGGTAGTGTAGACGCTGGTATAGTTTTGTCGACAAAAGTCCACTTTTGTCGACAAAACTAGGTAGTCTAGACACACCCAATGAGACTTTTGACTCCTCTGTCACTCAACCTCTGACATTAGAAAGACAAGGTGGGTGGGGTGGTATTTTTTATCTGACTTTCCCTAATGAAAGGCAAGTTTTGGAGAGCTTTTATGTGGGCCTAGGTACTTGGTGTCACAGTTAATTAGAAGGTAGAACAGATTGTTTAGCATACGTAGTTAACACACATTGCAAAAGGCCATTCAAAGTGATTCCTTCTAAGCTGTGCCAGGTGATTAATCAGCCCTGCCCAGTCAATCAGCTAGGAGCCCTGAGCAGCTGACTGGGCGGGGATGATTAATCACCTGTGAAGGGAACACTGCCGGCCAGTAAACCCATCTGCAACCATAGGGCAGATATTGGGAGATGGGGAAGCTAGGGGGTTAAGAACCATAAATACAATGTCTTTATTAAGACCTTGGTTTTCAGCATCTAGCAGAGTTATGAATGTAAATTCCCAGACTCCTATGTGGAATGTATTATGCAAGCTTCCTTTGAGGGTGAGGACCGAGAGGTCAGATATGGAGTGATCCTTTTGTGGAAAGTGTTCACCCATAGGTGATAGGTTTTTGTTGTTGTTATTGTTGTCGTTGTCGTCTGTCGTTTTTCTATGAAAGTTCATTGCAGAGCACAGTGATTGTCTGGTTCTACCCTCACAGTTGTTCTTGGAGTGCAATGGATGAGGTACGCCACATGTTGTGATAAAAGTGTGTAGGAACCGTGGATCTTGAAAAGCATGGTGGGGTGGAGCAGCATAGTTGTGGAAATAGATATGTCTGCAGGTTTTCCATCTATTATTATGGCAGGGTCTGATACTTTTACTTGATGGCTCATGGTCTATGCAACCTGGAAGAGTTAAAAAACATCCATTTGTGGTCATTCTAACACAGAATTGCCTATCAGTCGTGCAACATACCGATTCGGGAGATACCAGCATGATGCTTTTATAAACAAAAAAATAATATGTCTAGGTTTGAGTATGATTTCGCTTCTGGTTGGTTATTTACTTATTTTCTGGCTTCAGGGTGAGGGAAGCTGTAGCATTATCTTATCTTTAATTATGTGAAAGGTACCTACAGTCTGGCATAAATATGATACATGTTTATATATAATCATAAATTGAAATAAATACATACACATGCAGTGTTATATATTATGGGTCAGCTCCTCAGTTGATCATAGTGCCGCAGATTTTATCGGTCCCATGACAACTCTTGCCAGCTGAGGATCTGCTTGTATGTAAGGGTATGTCTACACTACAAAGTTAATTCGAACTAGGTAAACCTCATTCTACGAGGACTAACGCCTAGTTCGAATTAAGCAGTTCGAATTAAGGGCTGTGTAGCCCCTTAATTCGAACTAGTGGGAGGCTAACCCTCCCCAGCCTTCTTGTATGTAAGGGTATGTCTACACTACAAAGTTAATTCGAACTAGGTAAACCTCATTCTACGAGGACTAACGCCTAGTTCGAATTAAGCAGTTCGAATTAAGGGCTGTGTAGCCCCTTAATTCGAACTAGTGGGAGGCTAACCCTCCCCAGCCTTC